AGTGGCAGTAACTGTAGCAGGAATAACCATAGTAGCAATAACTGTAGTAGGAATAGCAGTAGCTGTAGCAGGAATAGATATACTAATCATAACAGTAGTTACGTTGTGATCGTTTATTGGTCACAGTGCCACACCTACCGATATTGTACAACACATAAAGACCAGTATCTGAGGTCTGCTAACCTCACAGTTCCCAGGACAGCGGGCACGCCCCAGCAGCCTCTCCGTGCGGCGGTGACGAGCCGTGTCCTCCCCTGTCTCACTTCCAGCAGGACCCTCACGGAGCCGGGCGCACTGTAATGGAGATAGCGCGCACATCGCTGAGGTAACTGCCGGCTGGCGAAGGGTCCGAGATACCTCACCCAGGCCTTTCCTGCGAGAACACACCCGGAGCCGTGCCAGCAGCGCCAGACAGGACGCCCCGCGGGTCCCAGAGGCGATCGATCGCCCCAGACAGGGAGGTGTTGAAAGGCCTGCGGGCTCTCAAATCCAATCAGCCTCCGTCTCTCTGCAATGCCTTCAGCTCAGTTTCCCAGAAGTCACCCCTCCCAAGACACAAACACTCGTGCATTCCGAGTTACCGGAGCTGTCAGGTATCCAACACGGAGACCTTTTCCCTTAACCTGGCTCTTAAGTGAAACTCAATTCTGCGGCTCTGTGCAACAATACTTAACGTCCAGGAATATTTAAGGGGAAAATGAAGTTGGTGGTGTTTTACGCCACTGAGCTGAGGAACCAGTTGAGTAAAGGCTCTTCTAAAGAAGAAGGTTTTGAGTATCTATTTGAAGGAGTTTACAGAGGGTGACTGTCTGATATCTTTAGGGACAGAGTTCCAGAGCTTTGGGACATAACAGGAGATTTCACACATATTACAGAAACTCCACTGAACATCTAAGGCTACAAACAAGAGTAATGTGATTCACCAAGTTTATTTAGTTGCTAGCACATTATTAGTCTGAACATCTTGTCCAGTCATGTCTTACAAGATCACAGGAAATCAGCTTCAAGAAGACAGCTGTGCAACTTGTTCCAGACACCCACTGCCCTTTCTGTACAGAAGGGCCTTCTGTTCTCAGTTCTGGAGTGCTTCTTCTCTGTGCTTTCTCCTGATACTGCCCTGCTTTCTATGTGCTACAAAACACGGGACTATGACTGTATCTTACTATGATTTACTTTAGTAATTGTTGTGTGACCCTGTCCACCTCTGACAAATGCTTATCATTACCTTCTGTGATTAATGATAGCTGCACCATGGTATCACAACACAGTAATCAAAAAGATCAATCTAAACAAATAATAGTACAATCATAATCTAGCACAGCGTAGCGAGAGAAGCACAGACACCGCCGGGCTTCACTGAGAGTATGCAGAGGACAAAAAGTAAAGGGGATATTATGATTGAACCTCCATTACGGAGGCTTCAGTCAAAAGCCAATGTAATAAAAGTCACCTCGTGCCGCTGGTCTTCCTGGCAGGAGACCAGAGTGAGGGAGGATGGGCAATGGTCAGTCCGAACTGCAGCAGGAACAGCCGCCACCAGCAGAGGGAGACAGAGAGAGCGAGCGCGAGAGAGGCTGGGCCGGAGAGAGGGAGAGAGGGAGAGAGCGAGGCCGAGCCGCAGGGGGAGAGAGAGAGACAGACGAAGCGACAGGAGGGGAGACACAGCCGGGAGAAGAGCCGGGGTGGGCTCTCCGCAGACCCCAGAGGAGGCTCCCGGGGACACGCCAACTGAGCCCCTTCCCCCTCTCACCAAACACCCCTATCAAAGGCACCCCGAAACCTTCCCCAGGCATGGGCGCCTCCCTGTGTCCTCCCCAGCCCCCCATCTACTCCAGACACAGCCCCCAGCGCCAGCACAAGCTCCCAGCCCTCTTCCCTACAGCGCCCCCGCCCTCAGGGGAGGGCGTGAACACACGTAGCCATGTGCCCCAGATCGCCCGTGGCCCCCCGGGTTCCCCCAAGCCTCAGCCCTCCCTGCTGCCCCTCAAATTTACCTTGAGGCAGCAGAAATCTAGAGCCCTGCCTGTCCCCCTTCTCCACCCCTCTCCCAGCAAAGACGTGTCGCTCACACCCCTGACACTAGGGGGAGACAAGTCTCCACAGCCAAAGCAGGAGATTAAGGATAGGGGGGTTTGTCCGAGAGGGGCATGGGACATCAAAGCACCCCAAATTTCCACTCCCCCCCCTTCTGCACGCTCTGCTCCCCCAGCCCAGCAACTGGAGGGTGCTACTGGCTCAGAGCCAGACGCCTGGGTTCAGTGCCAGCATTCACAGCAAGGTGGTATGGGGGCTCAGCCAGAAAGCAATACCTGCTGCAGCAGTATGAGCAGCACTAGCAGCAGTAGCAGTATCAGCAGCTTTAGTAGCTGGAGTATTAGCAGTGGCAGTGGGAGCAGTGTCAGCAACAACCCCAAGAGCACAAATGACAGCAGCAGTACCTGTAGCAAAAGCTCCATACCCATACTGAAAGTGCCTCCCAACTTCGTCATGTCCGAGAAAACCCGCGCCCAGCTGGATGCCAGGTCTGTCTGCCCATCAGGGCATTTCTGTCGGATTCTCTTTCTCTGGCCTGTGTGTGTCACCCCTTGTCTTCCTTCTATGTCAATTTCTGTCTGCCTCTCGGTCACTCTTAGATTGTCTTTGTGTGACTGCCTGTTGCACTCTCGCTGTCAGGCTCTCCATCACTGTTTGACATACTGTACCTTGACATACGTAGACCCTCTGTCTGTGTGTTTGACTCTCTTTCAAGCCCGTGTCTGTGTTTGAGTGTCAGCCCCTCTATCTCTGTCTGGGTATCAGACCTTTGCATTTCTGTCTGGCTCACTGTCAGATCCCTGTCTCTCTGTCTGGCTCACTGTCACACCCTTGTGACTGTCTGGCTCACTGTCAGACCTCTGTGTCTCTGTCTGGCTCCTGTCAGACCTCTGTGTCTCTGTCTGGCCCCTGTCAGACCCTTGTGTCTGTCTGGCTCACTGTCAGACCCCTGTGTCTCTGTCTAAGTGTCAAACCTCTGTGTCTGTCTGGCTCACTGTCAGACCCCTGTGTCTCTGTCTGAGTGTCAGACCCCTGTGTCTGTCTGGCTCACTGTCAGACCTCTGTGTCTCCGTCTGGCTCCT